GTGACTTGTCTGAGCATGAGGGATGCAAGATGCTGAGCTGTGATGGGGTCGTCACATTCCACCCAGACGCTGCTTTCAGTTCCTCGGCAGTTCCCATGTCCCCCTGCTGAGGGAGCTGAGCCGCTGACTCAGAAACACCCCCCGGCGGGGTGTGGCTTTAGTTCTTTGTGGTTGGTGGAAGGAGCCAGCGAGAGAGACGCTGCAGCAACACAAGCTCGCTGTATAACCTTGACAAGGGCCTCGGGGGCTGGAACACAAGCCTTTTTCCCAGTGCGCTCAGAACTCCAGGACAAAGACACAGCCTACAGGGTGGGAATGCTGGGGTCTGGCTATGTGAAAGTTTATTTAACACTTAGCCTCTTTATGCATGGTGAGGAGCCTTGCGAATGACTAAGAATAACCCTGTGCATTTCCATAGTGCTTATCCTGTCGAGCTCTTTGGGGCAGGGGACTGTCTTTTTTCCTGTGTTTCTCCAGCACTTGGCACAGGGGGATTCTGGTCCATGATTAGGGTTCCTAGGTGCTAGGACAGTACAAATAAAAATAATAATAGCGTGGGAAGGATTCTGTTTTGTTTCCATACCCAAAGAGCAAAATGTGCCCTAGAGCTTAAGAGGAGAGGTAGAGCTGGCTGAAAAACAGATTTTCTGACCCACCAAAAGAAATCAGATTTTGGGGGAAAAAATCCCATATTGGGGCGAAAAGCCAGAATTTCAAAAGTTTTTGCAAAATGAAATGCCGGGAAAAAATTTAGTTTCAGGACAATCAAAATGTTTTGTGCCATTTTAAACGTTTTCATTTTTTAAATATAAAATAAATTTAGAAATGAAAAATTGTTTTGAAACAAACAGTTGAATCTTTTTGATCAGAAACTATCAAAACAAGATGTTTTGACATTTTGAAAACACTTTCCCCAAAAAATTTTTAAACGAAATATTGCAATCTGTAGTTTTGTGAAAAAATTTGGCTTTGACAAAATGGCATTTTTCAACAGAAAACTGTTGTGACAAAAATTTCCCAACCAGCCTGTAGCCTGTTGTAGGGGAAACAAGAAAAAAGAAACAAATGTTGTAAAGTCTCCAGGAGAGAGCACAGTGTGTCTTGTTTCATAACATGCTGCAGCAACTCTGAACAAAAATGGCAGCTGCTGAGCTCAGCCTGCAGAGAAAGCTCTTAGAAATTTAAAGGCATAGGATGCAGAAAATGAAAGGCATCAAAGTTTCATAAGTGCATGCACAGATGGCAAAGCTTTTAGTAGGTCATTGGGAGTGTGTGGGGGTCATTTAGCTACCGCTGAAATATGACTGCAGATAAAGGGCAGATGGGAAGGGACTGCTCTTCTGTGCCAATGAAGCACCATTCCCTGGAGTTGCTGGTACTAGTCCCCACTGAACAGAGTAATGGACCACATGAACCCATGGTCTGATCCAGTGTGGCAGTTCCTGGGTTCCTGTGCTGTGTGCCGAGTCTCTTTTGGTAATAGCGAGCTGTTCATTGAAACATTTGTATTAGGATAATTATAACAAATGGAGAACAACAGGTCTCCAGGGCCAAATTCAACTATTGGTGTAACTGAAAACAGAGGTTTGGCCCCTCATGCTTTGGGGATCCGAGTGTTTTGTAAGACAGGCATGGTCCACATGTTAAATATCACAGACACAACAGCCAGTTATACACCTGGAAGGAACGGGAACTAGAATCCCTTCAGTTTCCCCACACCAAATCACTCAGGCCTTTGCTGCTTAAGCTATTGGAAATATTGCCCAGCTGGTAGCAATAATTGGTCTTTTATCTTCTGTGCCGGCTGGCCTATAGAGGGTGACATGAGCATATGTAACCCCCCGGTCAGTGTATGCTACATGTCACCCTTTGTGCTTGATACACAGAGGATGCTAAAGCTCTCAATATGCTAGTCTGGCTCTGTAGTGCACGCTTTTAGCCCTGGAGATCCCCGGTGTGTCGACCAAGATGGCAGCTGTCACACTAGACTCATTAGGAGATACCAAATGGCTTGCCAGCTGGCCCCTTTGGCTGAGTTCCAAGCGTGGCTCCCTCTGGAACCCATAGATGCTGCTGCAAGCATCGTCCAGTGGGAGGCGCTCAGGAGCAGCACTTCCCAGAGGTGCCTTGTGTGTGCACGCGTCCACAGTGAGTATATGAAGTAAAGCTTGGGGAAGGGCAGTCGCTGAATCCTCAGGAAGGTCTGGCTACCTCCCACCATAGAGGGGAGAGGGGAATAAATGTGACCCCGGATTTCCCTTTCCATGACGCAGAAGCCCCTGGCCGAGGAATCAGACAGACGCACCTCCCTTCTTTGTGCTGCTGGTGTTTATTTTGGGTTTGTTTTTAATCCCTACGGTTCAACTTTACAAAGTCCTCACGCCGATACATTGGTTTATGTATAAAATATGTACAGGAAAGCACTGCAGGAGCCATCGCGCCCTCTAGAGCCGGGCCGCGCGAGTGAAAGAGTGCTCCTCTCCTTGGAGGGGGACGATAGGGTCGAGAAATGTAACAATTTCCAAGTACATGAGCAAATATTTACAGGTGCCAAGACAAAAAAATATATCTCCAGTGTCGTCTCCAGGAGAGCTGGGAGCAGCAAAGCCCCCCTCACAGCTCCATTTGTTATATTGATTTATAAAGACTATGTATATCGATTTTCACAGGCCATGCGTCTGCCAAGGATGCACAGCTCCGACTTTCGCTTGTGCTGGCAAGGGGTCGCAGAGACCGCTCCCGCCATGGATTTTGATGCTCTATGTTCTGCAGCGTTATGGAACGATGCCTCCGAAACACTCCCATGAGCTAGAGTAAATGCCACACAAACGTGGAGTCCATTCCAGGTGAGGGGCGGGGGGGAATCCAGTCTGGGCTTTCCCCAGGACTGTCCTGGTGTTAATGCAATGGAAGCCTAGGAGATGTCTTTGCAGGTAGAGATCTCCCTTTGAGCTGCTTAATTTATTTGGAGTAAATAGGAGAACCTGGGCTGGATTTCTGTGCCCGCCTGGAATGGATCCAGCTGGGGGATGCGCAAGTAGTTAGAGCTTCTAATGGGATTTGGTGGTCAGAATGGCTTGTTAGAATGGGATGCCTTTAAATAGCCATGAGAGGTAGCTAAGCCGGGTGTGAAGTTAAAGGCAGTGGTCACCAAATGCTGTTCACTGACTCATTGTAACACAACTGAAAATGCTGATCTCTAAACTAAACCCTGATGCCAGTGAACAGCAAAATCCCCACTGATCTGAATGGGACTGGGATTTGTCCCCCCATGTCTTCAAGCTTGTGGAGAGCGTAACGTGGATTAAATCTACAGCTGGGCAAGGGTTTCCCAGTACTTTAGCTTGAGGCACTGGGAAAAACCCTGCTCTACTTGAGTCTGGATCTGGCTTAATCCCATTGCATTGCATCAGCTCTGCTCTGCTTGGAAATGGTGCAGAGGGAGGCGTGCTGCCCTGCATGCAACCTCTCCAGTCCTCCTGCAACAGCCTGGGGTGCAGCCAGGCAAAGAAACAAGGTGGCTTCCCTCCCGGCCCCTCTGTGAGTGAGAGGATGGGGAAGATAGTAAGGAACAGAGAGGGAATTACAGACCACAGAAACCTGCTGTTGTGTTCCATTGCAGCTTCCGACCAAGGAGAGAGCATAATGCCAGTAACCATGAGCTCTGGGGAGAATGCAAGGGATGGATGGATGTCTTCCCGTCCTGAATCCACTCACACACACGCTTTCAGACCCGCATGCATGCAAGTGCTTATACTTGTGCATGCATGTATTCGTAGACTTTTGTATACACACGCAATGTTGGTATGTGCTACATACACCCAGTGCGCAAGCGCTTTAGGCAGGGGTTTAAAGCTAAACCAGAGTTTGCGCTCCCCATGCTCTTCCTACTGGGTTGTCTTCTAGGATCTGCATTATTGCTGAGCTGGACTTTCCCTCTTGCACGGAATCATTTGCAGTGGTGCCTGATGGTAAATACACCGAAAACTCCTGCAATTCTCTGACCATTGAGAGCTATCACCTCTCTGCTAGCAAGTTATACAGCTGGCACAACTGTAGGAGAGCGTGGTACCCACAGCTGCTCCCACTAGCATTGATCCTGAATTATCACGGTCCGCTCTAGTGGACTGAGAATGAGAATGGGAGCCAGGAACTCCTGACGGCTAATTCCAGCTCTGCCACTGACCCCTTCTGTGGCCTTGGTCACATCACTTCACCTCTCCATCTTGCCATCTCTGCAATGGGTATAGTGATGCACAACCCAAAGGGGTGTTGTTTTAGAAATGGAGCCACAGCAGCAGCCATTGAGGACTGAAGCAGAGCTAAGAAATGATGCCGCCGACTTGTTCTAGTTCTAAAAACACCCATCAAGCACCAGGGTGCTGGACAACTTCCCCTCCGTTGTTGTATGTTCCCACTAGGGCTATTTCACTCCAGGTGACACAAGCTGCATCACAGAGTGTGACCCATGGGCAGCACAGCTCAAGGGGTTAGCTTCTGGGGCCACTCTCTCACCAAAACTCTTCAGCCCCTGCCAACCTAAATCACGCTTTATTTCCTTAAATCTATGTGCACAAGGGGGCGGGAGGTCATGAACAAGTGAGCACAAAGGTCTGCACAAGTTGGTACTGGCTTTGCGTGAGTGTGTGCAGCAGGGCGTGCAAGGGTTTGCGTGAGAGGGCTCAGAATTCATTAGTTGATATTTGCACGGGTGGCTGTTTGCACAAGTGGTTTGCATATGCACAAGTGAGCCTTTGCATAAGTGGGTTCCGTATGTGCACAGCTATTTGCAGGGAGGGGCCACATTCAGTATCGACATCGCTATTTTCACAGGGGAGGACTCTCCTGTGCACACCTGAGCAGGTGTGATATGTGATGACGGAGTACAAGGGAGTAATCTCATGAGACAAGTTCGTGGACCAGAGGGTACGTGGGTGCATCACTTTCTACTTCTTGATCCCAGAGCGTGGCAGGTCCCCCAAGTTCAAACTGTCCATGGTCTATGCTGGTGACACTTGACTGGAGGAGACGGAGGATACCTCAGTCTTGCTCTGGGATACAGTCGAGGAGACATCATCATCCCCAAAGGGGTTCTTGCCGCAGCAGATTGTGGTGATCATGCAGTTACGGAACTGAAGGGAGAGAGAAAGCAGTGGCACCTTTGCACAGCACATACATCCACGATGGCCAGTGGAGCCATCCCTCTGATCACCAGACAAAGAGCACTTTGCTGGGTTACATATAACACCTCACCCACTACAGAGATGCTACCACCCCTGTGGCGAAACGTGGCAGCTGTTCCAACTGCACAGACAGCGCTAAACAAATTAAGGCAGAAAGCGACAGGTACCAGATTCAACTGGAATTTGTTCTGGGACTGGAATAGCAGGGGGGGGTGCTATTAGGCAGGAGGAAGATGCATCTGCTCAGCTGTGGTGAAGCTCACGACTGGAGTAGCAAGAAGACTGCAGGTCAGGATCAAGGTGCATTGGCAGCACCAACACAGGACTGGGATAATAGAGGGGCTGTAGGTTGGGATTGAGGTGTGTTGGCAGAGCTGGGGGTGTCCCAGGGAGTGGAGTAGCAGGGGTGCTGCAGGTCAGGATCAAGGTGCATTTGGAAAGCTGAGTAGAGGGAGACCAGGGATGGAATAGCAGGGGGGAAGCTGCAGGTCAGGACTGAGGTGCATTGGCTGGGGACGCAGAACTGCAAGAGCAGGGGTGCTATAGGCCAGGTTCAGGGTGCGCCCTGAGAGTTCTGGGGGAGGCCTAGGACAGGAACAGCTTTGGCAGGGAGGCTCTGGCCCCGGGAGTCTCACCTGTTTGTTCATGAGGACATAGATGACGGGGTTGTAGAGAGAGGAGCTCTTGGAGAAGAAGGCAGGCACTGACATGAGAGTAGCGGAGAAGTCCGCCCCCTTGTTGGTGAAGATCCAGAACGCCACCAAGGCATAGGGCGTCCAGGCCATGAGAAAGCCCAGAACCATTAGGATCACCATGCGGGTCACCTCCCTTTCCGCCTTCTGGGTGCTCGCCGACTCCTGCTGCTGTGCGGCTGCCTGCGGGAGTAGGAGAGGGCAGTGAGCCAAGAAGCGCATTGCAGTGCTGAGCTGTCTCCCACCTGGCAAACTAGAGAGAACTAGCTATCTGACATGGCTGGAGTCAGGGAACAGGGAGTAGGTCTGAACCCCTTTGCTGGGAAAGCTGACCCCTGGGCCGAAGATGTTTCAGTTCATATTGCATTATGCCCAGAAGGGATCAAAACCACTGCACAGAACATGGATGAGATCCAGGGGCAGGGACCCGCTCCACTGCTCAGAACCTGGACTAGATCTGGAGCACAGACTAGATTTACACATGGAACGGCTCACACCCAAGGCAGCACACACCCAGTCATAAAGTGCAGCCGATAAACTCTCTTACCTGGAGAAAGGAGAGGCTGAAACAGGCACACACCTGCCCCTGCTTTGTGCTTGCAGAGAATCATCCCTGCTTTCGATCCCCCTGTGAGGCCCTGAGCCCCCTCACTGCCCGCTGATAAATTATGGGTGTGATGTTTTACATCTCTTGCCTCTTTGCTAAGCCTGGGCCTGTCTCCAGAGGAGATGGGGGAGTGAACAGAGATAACACCGGGGGCGATTCATAGATTCCAAGGCAAGAAGGGACCACTGTGATTGTCTAGTCTGACCTGGCCAAACACATGCGGGCTGGTATTGCCCATCAGATGGTGCTGCGGGTGCTTCAAGGAGCCTGTTCTCCAGCTGAGGACCAACACCTTCTACCCCTCCCCCCATGCTCGTTGCCTCTCTTCATCAAACCCTGAGCAGCTCAACGCATACTCTACCTCTCGGACTTTGCATATGAGCCGCCCGTAGGAGAAGAAGATGACCACCACCGGGATGATGAAGTGGACCATGAACATGTAGACAACGTAGGATTCGTTGTGGTAGTCGGGGTTGAGGGTGTAGTAATCTGGGCCACAAGAGCACTGCATGCCCTCGGGAATGTATCTGCCGAATGAGAGAGCAAGCAAAGCAGAAGGGTTAGGTCGCGCATTTCACAGGGCCCCCCCATGTGTGGCCTTCGGATGGGGCTGGGTTGAAACTGGTGAGGTGACCTAGAGTCTCTGGGTCTGCAGCAAGATGTCTTGCCCAGGGGCTGGAGAGCCTGCGGCTAAGCCAGCCCTTGATTACAAGATGAGCCCCACAGGAGAGCAACCAGGTAATTCCAGACTAAAAGACAGCAGGCACCTGCAGGCAGGGTGTGTTTGAGAGCGTAGCTGAGACTGCCAGAGGCAGGAGGAAGCCTGGCAGTAACCCGGGGAAGCCCAGAACACAGGCGGTTGTGTGGTGCTGGAGCTGGTGGAAGAAGCCATGCAGAGAGCACGCCTGGCTCTACAGAGCCCGAGCCAGGTCAAGCCTGTGAGTGGGCGTTGAAGAAGGGAAGGTGGGGAACTTTGTGTGCGTTTGGACTTTTGAGTTCTGGTTTTGGACAAACTCCATTGCCAGCCTGAGCAGAACCGGGGAAGAGTGAATTCAAAGGTTCACTGGAGCCTGATTTGAGTTCTTAGAGGGGCTTGGATGAAGGGGAAGTAGAGGCAGAGCAGTCACAGAGGCAAACCTCGCCACAATGGGGCGCTGGGCAGGCAGTGAGCAGCCGCGGGGCTGCATTAGCAGCTCCCTGAGCCTCTGAGAATGACAGCACCAGCCAAAGCCAATGGCGCTGTGGCCAGGCATTGCGTGTGCTCCTTCCAAATTTCTCGGCCCATGCCCCTCAATCCTGACCTGCAGCCCCCACCCTCTGCTATGCCAATCCTGAGCTCCCCACGCCCAGCTCTGCCAAGGCACCCCCGCTGGCCTATCGGTGTGAGGCAGAGGTGCATGCTTCCACATGGGGCTCTGCTGAGCCTGCTGCACTCCTGCCCTGAGTGATGGGAGCTGCAGCGAAGCGCCGTGCCCCAGTGCCAGGCAGCCCGGGAGAGGATCACGCAGGGGCAGTGATTGATTCAGGAGAAGGCGGCGTGTTTGCCGTTTGCTCTGCACTGACACATTGCACTTGGACATGTAGACATCAATTGGTTGTGACAGACGCTCCCTCCCATGGGGAGCAGGCTGTTTATTCCTGTCCCTACACGGCTGAGCATTTGGCTGCCAGGTGCCACCTGCTCTTTCTCCTGAGGAGCAGAGATGATGGGGAACCTACTATGGCTCAATGCAGGTGTGAACTCTGAGGTGTCCTGGATTCCCTGCTGCTGAGGGATTGTGTCCCTGACCATCTTGGCTAATAGCCATTGATGGACCTATCGTTAGCGCCTGCTTAAATTTTTGCCTGTAGAATAAGATTCTTTCCATAGGCTTTTCAGAGCATCCTATAGAATTCAAAAGAGGATTCTTTCCCTGGAAGGATTTTGGTTTTAATTAGACCTATAGGATGGATCTCGTCCTTTATGAACTCCCATAGGACTTCAGAGTAATATCGATTGTGGGTCGAGTTTGGGTTGTGGGCGAAGCTAACTGGACCCCTGTTACATTTCTGCAGCATCCTATTGGTTTCATCCCTAGTCAGTTCTTTACTGCTTTTCTGTAAAGAGAGAGATTTGCGGGGGGGAGGGGGGTGAACGTGTCCCAAACTAAAAACCCCTCTGCTATTTCTTAGTTTATCAGATTTGGGGTTTCTATGACTCAAAAGCAGCTTTGTTACTTTAATAGCTAATGTCCTGATCCCTGCAGAGTCACGTAAGTAAATTGACTTCAATGGGTTTGCTGCCAGGAGTAAATGTAAGTCTTTTTCAGGATCAGGTCCCAAATTTGTGCAGCAGGAGGGCTGTGGCGAGGGCAGTGCCTTTACCTGTGCTAGAGGGGAAACGACAAGTGAATTAATGTGCAAGGCGCCAGATTGACAGCCCTTCTTAATGCTCAAGTCCTGTGTCTATCCACAGAGCCTATACAACAGAGGCATCCCATACTGTGCTTCAGTCCTGACCGCCCAGCTCCTGGCCAACATGATATTCGGGCTCAACTTGAAACGATAGGGTCCACGCCACGTGTCCTCTTAATCTTAATTCATTGGTTTAACTGGGATTTACTGTCATATGTAAGGATTAGCACTGGGAGCTGCCGTTGCGGGATTGAGCCCCTAACTCTTCTTCACGCCGAATTCTGCTCTAGCTAGGTTAGTCTGCAATGACTGCTGGAATGGGGACAACCATGTGCACGGCTGGCTCCCCAGAGGAGAACACAGCTGTTCGACGGAGCACAGCTGGTGGCCTATGGCATTAGACAATTGCATTACGAGCAGACCGTGCTTCCTCCGAGCTCACAAGCAAGTACAGAGAGTCTCGTCTCTCTTTGCTTAGTGGCCTGGGCAGCTTTGTCCCTTCCCCTCTGCGGTAGCGAGCAAAGAGCATGTAGGTCCTGTATTTGCCCTTGCCACGGTTAGTTCTCACTTCCTATGGTTGGGCTGATGCACAGAGCTTTTGGGACAGGAACAGCAGGGGAAGGGGTTGCAGGTCAGGATTGTGGTGTCCCAGCAGAACTCTGTGTGGGACTCAGAACTGGAATAGCAGGCGGTGATGTTGGGCCAGAATGAAATGCATTGACAGAGCTGGGGTGAAACCTGGACTATCAGGAGATGCTGAAGGTCAGGACTGAGGTGATGCATTAGCAGCGCTGTGTGTGGGGCGTCTAGACAGGAATAGCAGAGGGGCCTGTAAGGTAGGATAGAGGTGCTTTGGCAGAGCTGTGTGAGGAAGCTTGCAATGCCCAGATGCGGGAGGTTACATTTTCAGGAAGGATCCCGAAGCTCAGAGTCTGATTCTGCTCTCATTAGCACTGGCGTAAATCAGGAGTAAGTCCATTTAAGACAGTGGCATTATCCCAGTATAAACCCAAGGTACACAGATCAGGTTCAGATCCATAATTGCTTTTCCTCCCTTGGTATCCTGCTGTTAATTGATTTATCTTGTTAGACTGACCTCACACTTGGTAAAGCAACCCCCATCCTTTCATGTATTTATACCTGCTCCTGTATTTTTCACTTCATGCATCTAATGAAGTGGGCTCTAGCCCACAAAAGCTTATGCCCAAATACATTTGTTAGTCTCTAAGGTGCCACAAGGATTCCTCGTTATAATTGCTTCTGTGCTTCAAGGGCTCATACATAGGGGGGCACCTGGGTATTTGGGAGTCGAGTATTTAGACAGCGGTCTTTGTCCGGATGGTGTCAATACTGTCTGTGTTTCGTATTACTCACCTGGACCAGCCAAATAGGGGTGGAGCAGCGCAGGAAAAGGCCATTGCCCAGGTAAAACTGATGCCCATCAAGGCATGGGTGGCAGAGAAGCGGAAGTTGCCCATGGGCTTACACACCACGATATAACGCTCTATGGCCAGGACGACAAGCGACCACAGGGCAACCTGACCTGGGGGAGAAAGAGACAGACAGAGCAATCTAACATGAGTGAGCTGTTAAAGGACTTGGGGGACAAGAACTTGTCTAAACCTGCTCTTATCTGAACCGAGGGGAAGCATGGTCTGGTGGGTACAGTACAGGACCAGGAGTTGGATCACGGGACTGAATTGGGTCACGGGGCTGAGTTGGAACCGGTACCCTGCAGCCTCCCCATCTCACCGTGGCTTGAGCAGAGTCTGCCTTTACAGTGCCTAAGAGTCTGCCCCCAAAATGGCCATATAAAGCGCCCAAGGGCCAATATGAGTCTCTAAATGTCTTGTTTAGGGCCCTGGTCATTTGTCATCCCCTAAAGTCAATGAGTCAAGTCTCGACCTGGTGTAAGGAAGCGCGGCTCAAGGCGTGAACCCTCGCTTGCACCATGTCCGAACCTGTCCTGATGGCTCTAAGAGTCTAAATGGGTATTTGGTATGTGTCCCCGCTGCAGGAGAATGAGCCCGGGCAGGTGCTGGTGTGTTTATTTATCAAAGGATAATCAAACCTTAGGGGATTATGAGCCTTTAGCCTGTGCCATAAGCCTGTTAATGCCCCCAGCATGTGCTCATCCGCTGATAGCTACACCCTCTGCTCAGCTTTCATGAAGAACGGTAACTCTTGCTGCTTCCCTTTAGTATAAACTTTCTTCTTCCTTTCCCCCCACAGTTGGGACCCTCCTTGTTCTCGCTGGGTAGAAATGGAAAGCCTGGATTAGACGGAGGGCCTGAAAAAGCGTGAAAGGTTAGAAGCTGTTGTCAGGCACAGAGATGGGGCCTTTTCACTGAAGGAATTAGTGATGACACTAAGTGGTCCTTCTTCTGCTCCCTAATATAGACCCGGCCCCATTTCCAATCCCTGGCATAGACCGGATTCGTTGAGCCTCTTTTCCTGGTGGCAGGAATATCCCCATTGCCTCAAATGTATTCAGGAGTGAAAATTACCCAGTGAAATTTTTACCTTTTTTTTTTTTTTTTTTTAAACTCCTGGCATTGATTGCAAACTGTTCCCTTCAAGAATTTGCTCTCTGAGCTGTGTTCGGCTGGCCGGATAAGTCACCAGGTATCATCTCTCTTTGCTGGTCGGATGAGCGCAGAGATGTAAAATTAATTCATGCTGCTTGGAAATGGACTTTTTTTTTGCAAGCAGTTGTGCCACTGAGATTCGATCGCAACCCTGCCTGCAGGAGTGAAAGATCAAAAAGCCACGAACATGGTCAGATCAGCTGGGTTTGAAAACGCCGCCGGATAGTCATTGGAAAATTTCTGCACTACTTGCGCAGCTCTGCTCAAAAATATAGACTGAACCCTGGTTCCACTCCTTGAGACTGACCATGTCATTTTTCCTCTTCTTGAGAGCAACCACATCTTCCTTCAGCTCCCTGATACACAATTAACCCTCACTCTGCTCCCAGATTTAAACCTTTCCTCCTCTTTCATAAGCACCAAACTCCTCTTCTCTAGCCCAGAGGAGACTCATTTTCCCTTCCCAAATACAGATGGGATCATTCTGTCCTTCGCTGATACTGACTGGATCTTCCTTCTCCTCCCAAATACTGACCTGCCCCTTCTCTTGTATAAAAAGCCTGCCCTTGCTCCAAACTGCAGCATCCTGCTGTAAGATGCATTGTTTTGGACCATTGGTTTTATGTAACAGTGATAGCATCTTCCACTGGGAACCTGGGACAATTTTATATGCTCCTGGAGTCTTACTGTTGCACCAAACGTTTTTTGTATTCCCCATGACAGCCCTGGTTATCGATGTCTTCCATTTCTCCACGGAACTGGAACAACGTGGGGTAAGTTTCCCAGGCGCTGTTCCCCATTCTAAAAGAACCACCCTAAGGGAATTTCAGTCTCTTGGACCTTTTTAGTCCTTGACCCTTCTGCTGAGGCTACGGACAAGGGGGCCCAATTAACGTTGGTTGTGATGCTGCCTGCCAGGGGATAAAGACCCACCTACCCACCCATTTGACGCAGATCGCTGACTTGGACGCCGATGTGGTACTAATGTCTGGCCGGGTTTGACATGACTGGCATAGCCCAGGAGGTAAAAGCCTTCATATTAGGGGGCAGTATTCAAACCTGGGCATCTGCATTCAGGTGCTCAGTTCTGTACATGAGTGCTCCCAGCAGCACTGCAGATGCTCAAATGCAGGTGTTAGCTACCTAAACCAGATAACTCCAGGTCAGACTGTGGAAGGAAGAGTCATTTTCAGTCAGGCTGCCAATGACTGACCTGCTGGGAGGGACTTCCGCACAATATTCAGCAGGGCTTATTCTAAACGGTGGAGGATCTTGCCAAGACCATGGCAGTTTCCAGATTAATCTGAAGAGGTGCTTGACTTTGTGTGGACCCTAGCGATGGGCTCAAACCCAGCCCTTCCCAATTCAAACACCCCTGAACTTTGGGTCCCAGATCCTTAGCTGAACTTTGCAGCTTGGGCTGATTTCTTTTCATTGCCGCCTTTCTGAAACTCCTGACGTGGATGCTGTCGTCACGGGCTTCCGGGACAATTTTTAAAAGTCCCCAATCTATTTTGGGCACAGCTCGTAGCTTGTCATTGGGCTGGTTCTCAAGTCACTGTGCCATACTGATGCGGTACCTTTGCATTACAATGCTACATCACCCTTCCGGGAGTGGCATAATGTACTGAGGCCACATAGGGCATGTCTACACTGCAGTTAGGGGCTGTCATAGCTAGCTCAGGTGCCAGAGCAGTGAAGCCGTGGCAGCACGGGGCTGTACAAACCTGCCCGGAACCCTGGGTAATTACTTGCATGTCTAGCCCGTGCTGAAACATGCAGTGTCTAGCCCACTGGTGCAGCCAAGCATGTTTCAATGGGGAGAAACAGACTGAATGCAAGCCATCTGCCTGGACGGCATGCTTCCAACTGGAAATAAACCCAGGGCAAACTAGAACTTCCTTCCTCCAGCCAGGCAAGCGCATGCCTGATTCCCCCTTCCCTGCCCCCCCCCGCCCCCCCCCCCCCCCCGCTGAGCTCTTACCTCCCAGTGTGGCAAAGAAGCCCTCCACGGCACAGCCTATGGGCCCGAAGATAAAGTAGCCGTTCCAGGCCGTGTAGAAGGTGACAGTGAAGCCAAAGCAAGCCATGAAGAGATCAGCCACTGCCAGGTTGACCAGGATGTAGTTGAGTGGCTGCCGCAGCTTCTTGTGCTTGAAAGTGACAAGGAGGGTGAGGAGATTGATGGGGAGCCCGGTGAAGATGAGAAAGAAGATGTAGCAGCACACGATGCGGTACTTCCAGGGTTCGGCTAGGTAATACTGTGGGTACTCAAAGGGGCTCCGCACCAGCCCTGTTTTATTGGAGAGCGGCACATAGAAATTGATACCTTCTGTCCCGTTCATCCTTCTGTTATTTTAGCAGCTGCTCTTTATTATTTAATTGTTTCTGTCTTTTTTCAGAACCAATTTAATTTTATTGTCAACCTCAATAAAAAAAAATCCCCCCACCCCCAACAGAAATCCTTAAGAGAATGCAGAGCTGGTGTGGTGTCCCTCATCTACATCCCAGGGCTGGCAGCGCCAGGATCCCATGGGGGTTTTTATATCCTTCGCCCACTTCTGCTGGAGTGGAGGAGGGAGTGAGGGTGGGAGGGGAGGATTAGGGTCTAGGCTAAGTTTGTATGACAAGGACAACGGGATTGAGAGGGGTTGATGGTTTAAGCGCCCTCTAAGCAGCTAGTTGGCCCCAAAACCTGCCTTAAGGCGTATTAATTTCCATTAAGTGTTTAATATCTTTGAAGGAATTTGGTTTATTTGGAAGTGAGGTGAGGCAGGAACAGAGCGGTAAATTGGCAGGTGGTAACCAGGAAAGAATGATAGGTGGGTAGAACGGAATAGCAGAGACAGGAGTATTGGAGAGGGATTTCTGTACCCACTTGAATTCGACCTAAATGGTAGCCCTTGTGACTGCCCAGTAGCTAAGAAGGTGAGCTGGTCAAATTATGTGAGCGGAAGGATGGTTCGGGAGTTAGTGCACTGGCTTCAGACTTGGGAGACCCAGGTTAAATTCCCAGCTCTGCCACCGACACCCCATGTGTCCGTGGCCAAGTCACTTAGTCTCTTTGTGCCTCACTTTCCCATCTGTACAATGGGTTCTGTTCGGGGGGGGGGGGGGGGGGTCTAGTGGCTAGTGTAGGGGATGGGGAGTCAGGACTCCTGGGTTCTATTTTTTACCTGATTCCGGCTTCTGCAATTGTATTTGTTAGTTGCCAATATTCAGCAAATAATTTGGAAAAGCAATTTCTGACTGCTGGGTTGTTTGTAATCTGTTTGCTTGGACTGTTCAGTATTTGATATTTGCTGTGTGTGGTTGGTCACTTAAGTCGCATGGTATTTTTTCTGCTCCCTGACTGGCTTGCTGTCTGAAACTTCAGACAGAAAACAATGACTCTCGTCCCTCCAGTGTTCAGATTAATAATTGTTCATGCTAAAATTGGTGAAATGTATGGGTTTCATGAATATCTGAATACTCAAACAGTGCAAGTTGTGCTGTAATAGTGAACTGGATTCTGAGCAGAATCAGGTCCTCTCACTGCAGGTTCTGGCCTCATAAAAGGGACGGCTGAAGCAGCAGCACTTGAATTTTGAATCATAGCTGCAGCGCTTGGCAAACCTGAACCCACACCCAAACTGGGTCACAATGGAATGGCATCTGCATAGGTGCCTTGGACCATTGCAACATTAAATGTACTTGGGTCTCATCATCAGCGCTGAACATGTCCACATGTTGGAAAGCAACCAGCCTTCTTCTTTTGCAGGACTCTTCTTGACCAGCGACTCCTGTCCCGGGCCAGCTCCTGCCTACCTCCTGCCCTTCAGGAGGAAGTTATTATCATTGTTATTTATTGGGGTGTGTTGTGATAGCATCGACTAGCCCTAGTTATGCCCAGGAATCAGTTGTGCTAGGCACTGTACAAACACAGAACAAAAAGACTGTCCCTGCCCCAAAGAGTTTATAGTCTAAATAAGTACTGGGGTTTCTAGGCTGACGTCTCAACTGAATTACTTTGTAAGCCAAATGCTGTTGCGATGCCAGGCTGCCAAATGGAACTAGCAAGAACAAATGCAGATGGTTCTGCTGGGCTTTCATTTCCATGCAATCCTTTCTCACAGCCCATGCTGCAGCTTAGCTGGGAGGTGGATTGCATGGGGTCTTCATTGCAATTAGGTTTCTGAAGTATGTAACTGAACATCTGATCCTCCACTTGGAAAACCCTAGTGCTTTGAAGGGATATAGTGACTGGGAAGCGTCTCCTCCTTCCACTTTGCATGGTGGGCTGAATGTATAACCCTGTCTCCTCACCCTCCTCCTGCCCTGCCTTGGGGATGAGATTTTTTTAAAAAGGATATCATGGAGCCAGATCCATCGACTCATTCCGCACAGACCCCTGGAGGAACAGCTACCAGAGGGTAATTCATTCCATTGCCTACTGGAGAGTTGTTGAACCAGAACCCTGGGCATGTTCAGCTCCAAATCCAAACTTTGTAGCTTGGGACCATCCCTGTCAGATGGATCTGAACCAGAATTCCAGCTCTGAACCTTCTCAGATTTTACAGAAGTTTGAATCTGGATCAGAACTACATGGCTAAATCTCTAAGCATTTCCAAACTGGCCTGGATTCAAACCAGTGATTTAGAAGTGAAAAACTCTATAGGCCATTTCCCATGCCCTGCCCTATCATGTCATTTTGCCCTGGAGATTCCGAGGACCACGTCTTCAAAGAGATACATGCCAAGAAGCATGCGCATGACTTGGATGCAGAACCCCCAGCACGTCAAAGTCCCAAGCATGCATTTGCACGTGTGTTATTAAAAGGGTTGGTTCATATGTTTAATCCCCTTGAGCCAAACAGTCTGTAACCTGAATTTTAATGAAAATGTTTCTGGTTTGTCATTGGTAGAAGGATCATATCTTCCCAGGTCAGGAACAGGAGAGCATTGTGAAGTCAGTTAAGTATCACTGTCTCCATTTTACAGATGAGTAAATCAGGGTGTATTGAGTCATCACAATGAATTGTTATCACAGCTGGGAATAGAACGCAGGAATCCTGACTTCCATGCCCAGTCCCACCTGTTGTCACCAGTAGGTCACATATCCTCCCAGCTGTGGAAATAGAACCCAGAAGTCCTGACTCCCAGTCCCATCGCGCTGTAACCCTAGAGAACACTTTATTTAAATCAGGATAGGCCAGTGGTTTTCAACCTTTTTTTCATTTGCAGACCCCCTAAAACATTTCAAATGGAGACGTGGACCCCTTTGGAAATCTTAGACATAGTCTGTGGATCCCCAGGTGTCCATAGACCACAGGTTGGTTGAAAACCACTGGTATAGGCAGTAGATGACTCCTGTTGTCTCTGACACACCCAAGTGGCCTGATCCTGCTGGAAGTCAATGGCAAAACTCCCATTGTGGTCTATAGTCTCCTCCACTTCTCCCTGGAGGTGCAGTAAAGGTCACCGGGTTTCCCAGTGGTGCCTCCCTTCATTCCTGCACTCTGCTCCCCTTCCCAGGCTTGGGAAGCCAATCAGTCTCACAGCTTTGCAAGGACTGGGGGCAGCCAGAAACTGGGACTGGGCAATAGGGGATGGATCACTCGATAAATTGCCCTGTTCTGTTCATTCCCTCTGAAGCACCTGGCATTAGCCACTGTCGGACAACAGGATACTGAGCTAGATGGACCATTGGGCTGACCTAGTATGGCCGTTCAAAAAGGCTCCTTGGCCACAGTTCTAAAACCAGCTTGACAACTTGCTGTTATTTGTTCAAGAAGTGGTGACTGGGGGAGGGAAAAGCACTGTGGTGGCCTCCCAGCCTGTCCCCTTTTCCTGGCGTGGCTCAGATAGCCACATTAGGTGGTTTATAAAATTCATAACAACATACTGGCCAATTACGAGTCCTCAGGTCTTTCTGGCTCTGCTTCCGCTCCTTGACCTGGACTACCCTGCAAGAACCTGTCTGGTCTACAAGTATGCCATGGCAAGGCAATAAGATGGTTGAATTAACCCAGCTGGGTCTTTCCTGGCCTCTTTGACTCATTCCAGAAACTGCAGCTACAGTGGGTCAGCATTTAATTTTGCAGAAAGCTGGCATATCTGTCTATCTGTGTCCATATATGTTTGTCTGTCTGTGCTCATCGCCATGTTATCTAAGCATGGGAAAACACACCACCAGATTTCACAGGAACCTAAATACCTAATTATTTGTGTTTTGTCTTTCTTGGGCTATTTTCTATTTTTGCATCGGGGATGAAATATTGTATGTGTCACCCAGATTTAGGCAGGCGTGAGTCCGAGTCCCACTTTAGTGTCTAATCCATAGAGGAGAACAAGTCTACTACAGCTGCTAGCTAAAGGAGTTGCTCCGTTAGCAGTAGTGGCTTGTGCTTTTAGCGCTGAAGGGCTTGGGTTCAAACCCTGTTGTCGTCCCAAGCATGGTCATTATATACGTTCCGCACTTGGCTGAGTGCATCCATGTAAAGTATTGCAGATGGTGGAAATACAGTGACAAGGACCAGCTCTCATATTATTTCAACCCTGAGGCAGAGAAAAGCCATGGAGCTCCACAGCCGACCAAGGGTTCATTTAGTAGACTTGGGCGGACACGGTACTGGAGCGTTATGATTGTTTAATGGTTATATTACAGCACTGCCTGGAGAGGCATCAGCCAAGTCAGGGCTCCAAGCTCCAGGGCTGTACAAGAATTGATGGCCTGACTCCCGCTGGGAAGAGGAAAATACTGTTTGCACCAGCTGCTAAAAACCTACCGACTATAGACTGACTCCCCTGGAACTGGGTGCAGGCTGTCCCCAGTGACTGGAATGCTGGTAGCATCCCTACCTGCCTGGTAAATGCCTGCTTGGGTGCTATTCAGAACTGTACCCAGGCAGGGAGAATGGACAGCCAATCAAGCAGCAGCTGGAGAGGCTGGCGCATGATCCGCAATGAGGAGGTAGCTGTTTGGACAGGAGAGGGTCTGGAGATGGCGTGAGAGAGAGTGGCAAGAAAAAGTGTGGCTGCTCCACACTCAAACTGCGGGAGCAAGTGGGAAGGAAAGGACGGTTTCACCCTGACTCCTCAGTGCTGAATTTGGGTCAAGGGGAAGTTACGTCGCTCTGTGAAATCCGTCAGAACTGGGTCAGAACTAGCCCCAAACTCATATGCTCCCTTCCTTGTCCGAGCTGGATGCTGGATGCTGCTGCAATGGGAGAACTGCCTAAGGCTTCTTAGCAGAGCTCTCCCGCTAATCTGTGACATATGGTGGCGTACATGACCCTGATCTGTTAATACTGTAAGCTTCGGTCCCTTCCCCCCACCCGCCCTCCTCAGAGATGAGGTGGATGGAA